CCCTCCCTCTTGTGGGTTGATGTGCTGGAGGTAGGATTCCTGGCAAGAGCACTTCTCTGCCCCTCCCACCAGTTTGTAGGTGGGTTTCTCTCTTTTTTCTGCCCTGTGTTGTAGAACAGCTGTTCTGTAAGTCTTTAGAGATCTTTTTCAGAGAGAATTAGTCTATATGTATCTGTAACTTTGGTGTGTCCATGGGAGGAGGTGAGCTCAGGATATCTTCCTATGCTGCCATCTTGGAACCCCACCAAGATTTCTGTCTTTTTAAAAACTGAATAATATTGATTGTAGACACCTACTACACTTTCTTTAGCCATTCATCTGTCAACAGACACTTAGGTTGTTTCCATACCTTGACTATTGTGAATAAAGCTGCAAGGAATGTGTACAGATACCAGTTTGAGATAGTGGTTTCATTCACTTTGGGTATATATGGAGTAGTGTGATTGTGGTCTCATATGGTAGTTCTGTTTTAAATTTCTTGAGGAACCAACACATTTTTTTTTCTTTTTTTTTTTTCAAGAAAAAAAGATTTTATTTATTTGACAGAGAGAGACACAGCGAGAAAGGGAATACAAGTAGGGGGAGTGGGAGAGGGAGAAGCAGGCTTCCTGCTGAGCCGGGAGCTGGATGCGGGGCTTGATCCCAGGACCCTGGGATCATGACCTGAGCCAAAGGCAGCCACTTAACTGACTGAGCCACCCAGGCGCCCCCAACACATTTTCCATAGTGGAAATTTACCAATTTACATCCCCACCAGTATTGCCTAAGGGTTTCTTTTTCTCCATATCTTCACCAGCATTTATTATCTCTGTCTTGATAGTAGTTAGTCTGACCAGTGCAAGGTGGTATCTCATTGTGGTCTTGATTTGCATTTCCTTGATGATTAGTGATACTGGCCATTTTATGCATTCTTTAGAAAAATGTCTATTCAGGTCCTTTGCCCATTTTTAAATTGGGTTTTTTTACTATTAAGTTGTAAGAGTTCCTTATATATTTTGGATATTAACCTCTTATTGAGTATGTTTGCAAATATTTTCTTTCTTTGTGGAGGTTGTCTGTTCATTTTGCTTATAGTTTCCTTACTTTATAGAAGCTTTTAAGTTTAATATAGTCCCACCTGTTTATTTTTGCTTTTGTTGCTATTGATGTCAAATCCAAAAGACTGCAGCCAAGACTGCTATCAAGGGGCTCACTCTCTACTTTTTTGGAAGTACAGTTGACATATGTTATATTAGTTTGAACTGTACAACATAGTGATTCATCAGTTCAATACCTTATTCAGTGTACACCACAGTAAGTGTAGTCACTATCTTTCATTATACAAAATTATTACATTATTATTGACAGTATTCCCTGTGCTGTATTTTCCATCTCTGTAACTTATTGTAAGTGGAAAACACCCTCACCTGCTTTGCCTCTCTCTTCCCCTTAGGCAGCCATCAGTTAGTTCTTTGTATTTAAGAGTCTGTTTCTGCTTTTGTTTTTTTTAGATTTCACATATAAGTGAAAATATATGGTGTTTGTCTTTTTTCTGACTTATTTCATGTAGCATAATGTCTTCTATGTCCATCCATATTGTCAGGAATGGTAAAGTTTCATTCTTCTTTTATGTCTGAGTAATATTCCATTATGTGTGTGTGTGTGTGTGTGTGTGTATATATTTTTTTTTTTTTTTTTTTTTAAGATTTATTTGACACAGAGAGAGGGCAAGCACGACCAGGGGAGCAGCAGGCAGAGGGAGAAGGAGGCTCCCTGCTGAGCAGGGAGCCTAATGTGGGGCTTGATCCCAGGACCCTGGGACCACGACCTGAGCTGAAGGCAGATGCTTAACAACTGAGCCACCCAGGCGCCCCTATATATATCTTCTTTATCCATTCATATACTGATGGCTACTTGGGCTGCTTCCATATCTTGGCTATTATAAATAATGCAGTAAACATAGGGGTACATATATCTTTTCAAATTCGTGTTTTCATTTTCTTTGGGTAAACACCCAGCACTGGAATCACTGAATCATATATTATTTCCATTTTTAATTTTCCAAAAAAACCTCCATACAGTTTTCCCTAGAGAATGTACCAATTTGCCTTCTCACCAACAGAGCATGAAGTTCCTTTTTCTCTACATCCTTGTCAACCCTTGTTATTTTGTGTGTTTTTTATATTAGCCATTTGATTTGCTTTTCCCTGATGATTAGTAATGAGCATCTTTTCATATATCTATTTGCCATCTGTATATTTTCTTTGGAAAAATGTCTATTCAAGTAATCAAGTAATTTTTTTATTGGATTATTCTTTTGATGTTGAGTTATAGGAGTTGTTTATATATTTTGGATATTAACCCCTATAGGATAGGTTATCTGCAAATATTGTCCCATTCTATAGTTTGCCTTTTAGTTTTGTTGATGATTTTGCTGTGCAGAAGCTTTTTTATTTTGATGTAGTCCCACTAGTTTACTTTTGCTTTTGTTTCTCTTGCCTTAGGAGACAGATCTAGAAAAATGTTGCTATGGCTAATGTCAAAAAAATAACAGCCTGTGTTCTCTTCTAGGATTTTAATGGTTTCAGATCTCTCATTTCAGTCTTTAATCCATTATGAGTTATTTTTGTGTATGGTATAAGAAAGTGGTCCAGTTTCCCCAACACCATTTATTAAAGAGACTGCCTTTTCCTCATTGCACATTCTTGCCTCCTTTGTCATAGATTAATTGACCATATATGTGTAGGTTTATTTCTGGGCTCTCTGTTCTGTTGATTTTTGTGTCTATTTCTGTGTCAGTCCATATTGTTTTGATTACTAGAGCTTTGTAGTATATCTTGAAATGTGGAATTGTGATACTTCCATCTTTCATCCACTCTTCTCTCAAGTCTGACAAGCATCTTTTTGACCATTACTTTTAACTTCTTATCATAGACTGGTGATCACCATTTCAATTAGTTTTTTCCTCAAGTTTTGTCTCATTTTTTTTTGTTTGGAGGATATTCCTCTGTCTTCATTTTGTTTTACTTTCTTTTCACTTAGGCAAAACAGCTACCTCTCCCATTCTGGATGACAGGACTTGTATAGGAATATCCCTGATGTAGACTGTATGTCTCGTGGTTTTGGCTGGCTGGTTAGAGCTGTAAGGGGTGTGGCCTGAGAATTCCTTGGGCAGCCTACCCTAGGGCCACTCTGGTAAGATGGCTGGAGATGAAGCAGGCATGGACGGGTGCTCCATAAAGGGGTGCCCTGGTGGGGTAGCTGGAACTGAAGTGGGCATGTGTTGGGTGGTCCCAGGGCATTCTGTGCTTGGAGAATCCTGGAGGGATGGTTCCAGCTGTAGTGGGTGTGGCCTCACACAAGGGGTGCCCTGGTGAGTTGGCTGCAGCTAAAACAGTTGGAGGCCTGGGGTGTCTTGGAGTGTTTTGTGCCTGTATTATCTTGGTAAGTTGGCTGCAGCTGTAATGGGCACACTAAAGGAATGACCGGGTGTGCACTGTGTTGGGCTCACCTTGGTGGGACAACTGGAGGTTGGGCAGGCATGTGTGCAGGGGCCGCCTTGGGGAGATGTCAGGCTGGTGTGGGCTAGGGCCCTGGTGTTTGCTAATGCAGCAGGCTGGCTAGAGTGCTGGGACCTTGAGCCCATCTGTGCCATCAAGGTGAAGGATGAATGTAAACAATGGTACTCACTAGCACCTCTGAGTCTGGAGAAAGTTCCAGCAGTTCCTTCACTGTTGAATGCTCTAGGGTTGGTTCACTGGTAGTGTAGTTGCCTTTTGAACTGCTGCTTTTTTCCATGCCCCAGCATGGGTGAATCTGTGCATGAGTCCCTCTGTGCCATCCCTTCCCACTGCAGTTTACCTCAGCGTTGGGTTTCCTGTTGTTACCGTGTCTCTGTTTCTCCTGCTATTCTCTATGTGGTCTCTCTATCCTCTGTTGTACAGAAGCTGTTCAATCAGTCCTCAGTTCTTCTTTAGGAGGAACTGCTCTATATGTAGGTATAGATTTGGTGTGTCTGTGGAAAGAGGTAAGTTAAAGGTCTTCCTAGCCACCATCTCGGACCTAAATCTTCCCTGTTTTCTTTGAGGAGTTCTATTGTTTCAAGTCTTTATTCAATTTTGAATTGATTTGTGTATATGCTACAAAGTAGGGGGTCCAGTTTCATTCTTTTGCATGTGGCTGTCCAGTTTTCCCATCACCATTTATTGAAGAGACTATCCTTTCTCCATTACATATTCTTGGCTCGTTTGTTGAAAATCAGTTGACTCTCTCTCTCTAAAATAAAATAAATAAATTAGGAAAGAGGGGCACACCTGAGTGTCTCAGTTGGTTAAGTGGCTGATTCTTGGTTTCGGCTCAGGTTTGTGAGATCCAGCCTGGTGTCGGGCTTTGAGCTGGAAGTCTGCTTGAGGATTCTCTCTCTCTTTCTGCCCTTCCCCTTGTGCTCTGTCTCTAAAATAAAATAAATAAATCTTAAAAAAAAAAATCAGTTGAAGATATAGGCATAGTTTTATTGGGCTCTCTATGCTCTTCTATTGATCTATGGGTTTGTTTTTAGCTATGCCATAATGTTTTGATTACTATAGCTTTGTAATATAGTTTGAACCTGGAAGCCTGATTCCTCCAGCTTTGTTCTTCTCTCTCAAGATTGCTTTGCTATTTTGAGTTTTGTGGTTCCGAGCAAATTTTAGAATTTCTTTTTCTATTTCTATGAAAGATGCCACTGGAATATTGATAGGGATTATACTGCATCTATAGATTTCTTTGGGTAGTATGTACTTTCTTAGAATATAAATTTTTCCCATCCATGAATATGGAATATCTTTCCATTTGTATCTTTTTCAGTTTTTTTTTTCATCAAAGTCTGGTAGTTTCAGTGTACATATCTTTCACCTCTTTAGCTAAATGTATTCCTAAGTAATTTATTCTTTTTGATGCTTTTACGGTATTTTTATTTGGTTTGGGATTTTGAAATCTGGCACATGGGTCATTTAATCTCAAACATCATTCCTTTATTATATCTGAGAACTTTATTCCTAGAACTGCCACCTTAGTTTAATCTAAAGCGGTAACTGCCACTGACACCTGAACTACTTACTTAGACCTAAGTCTCACTTGCAAGCACCCCATGCTGGAGGAAAAGCAGCCTGCTGGTTTCTCAGCTCTCAGCTGATTTCTCAGCTCTCAGCCGTGAGGAATCCTAGGTAACCCTGGCAATGAGGCAGAAAACTGCAAAGAGCCTGGCCAGCAAAGCAGAAAGGAGGCAAAAGAAAGCCTGGCCTAATTTATAAAATAAACAACACTATTTGATCTCATGCAATAAAATAGTTATAAACCTTAAGAACTCTGGAAGGATAATTCATGATTGGATAGTCTTTCTAAAAACAAGTCCTCTACACATTGTAGAGCATCAGTTACTAATGAAAATTGTAAAGTGCTCAAATAAATAAATGAAATTTACATCCAGTGTTTACAAATAGGCCTTTCGTGAATGTAATTCTTGCTTGGACCTGTATTTTGTGTAGTTCTCTTTCCTCTCATGACTTTGACATTTTGTAGGACTGTACCCTGGTTTTCATTGTCATGCTTTTATTTTTGAATGTCAGTGACATATTAGTATTATCATTGTATTTTTTAAACCTTTATCTCCATCTGATCATGCTTTAGTATAAGTGTTTTATCATCCTCATTCCTTTTTAAAGAGGTACCAGGAATATACTTCTAATAAGACCGGGATTTTAAAAACAAAATGATAACCAGGAGACAAAGGGCGCTTGGACTGTGAACCTAGTTTTATGCATTAACATAAACTAACACACTAACGGAAACATGAAGTTTAAGTAAGTGACATTTTACATTTTATGTTTTCAGTTTTAAATAGTTTTAACAATTACTTGCTATCTAGAACCCCAAATCGTCTATCAACACCATAGGTCCAATTAGCTTATTTTCAGAAGCATCTTTTCAATAAAAACAATCTGCTAAGAAATAAAACAAATAGGGCGACACTCAAAATGTGTACCCGAAGCCCATTTTGGAGGCAGTCAGAGAACAAGAGTCTCTCTTGCATACTAACCAGGAAGGTCATGCTTGACCCCGAATTCCTGAATGATTTGCCTCCGAAATTTCCCTTGCAGTTTTCCAGTGTTCTGCATCTCCACACAGCAGTTCAGAAGCAATACTGAGCATTTTCCAAGTCACTGAGAGTGTATTTTTCAAATACAGTCTATACATAATACCATGATTAAGGTACTGCAGGGGGAAATGAAAGCTTAACAAAACCTTACTGAAACATAATTGAGAGCCTGCCTGAAATCAAGAAGATCACAGAAATATTTAGTATTGTATCTCAGTTTGTGTTAAGTACTTTCAAAAGGTATTGGACACTAAAAGCATATAATATGAGAGAGAAAGTTGAATTCTTGATTTTTTGCTCTCAAAATGTTCACTCAATCTGAGAAACATGAAAAAAAAGGTTTCAGTTCCTCCACATGTAAACCATTTGTCATCCACTCAAAAATTTTTATACTTCATTTCTTCACCAAAAATCTTGTGATGTCTGATCCATGCTTTGATGCTAGAGATTGTCTTCTCCCCTGGCTTCTTTCCTTAGCTTGCCTGGTAGTTCTCTAAAAGTTAAAAAATACACAAATGTACACCTGTTAGGAAAAGAGTACTGGTTTCAGAATCTCAAAAACTTTTTGTATTTCTTTAGTCCGGAAAAATCTACATTATCACCATGCCCACTTCCCATTGCTTTGCCCTCAAAGGGGACACCACGCCACAAGCAGAGGACCCCAGTAGCTCTGGTAAGTGCCCTGAGGTCCTACGTTCACTTAGGACCAGATGCTTTGGGGAATGACTTACTCCCCAGTGAGACTGTGAATGCCTCATTCGGGGACTACAGTAGGCCCTGATTCTCCTCATCTAAGGGAGGGCATACATGAGGTGTCTCGCGATTTCTCATAGTGCAGTGCCTGTAAGGCCTACCAGCTTCCCATTCTGTGGGCTCAGAAGCCATTCCCAAGCCAATGCAGAAAAACAAAATGAGGTAGATCAAAACTGAATTCTTCTGCTATTTCCACAAATAGAATTTCTCATGAGAATCTAAAAAAGTGATTACAGAAGGGGTGGATTTTCTTTTTGTTATATCTTAATTCTCTTATAGGTCTTGAATGTGCTAGTAATTTTCACAGCAGAGAAATCAGATGACTTTTTTTCCCAGTTGAAGTTCATGTATGTGTGAAGTTATCCAGGTAGAAGGGGTGGGGAGAGAAAAGAGGATTAAAACTAAAAATAAAAAACCCTATTACAGGATCCCATTTATGTAAGAATTATATTTGTGAAGAAACTGAGGAACCTAAAATATTAAAATAAGGCTGAGTGCTTATACAATATGAACACTGGCAAAGGATCTGAACAGGTTTTGAAAGTGTAAATACCACTGATGAGCATTTTTAAAAACCTCAGTATCTTTGGTAAACAAAATAGTGGCAGGCCCTTCTCCTGGCACATGAACACTGATGAGCTCAGTTAAATGGGCACTCTCGTCCCCCGGGGGGAGAGGAGCAGAACATTGTCCTTTGGAAAACTGCTTGGAGATAAATTCCTACGGTCAAACACTTGACTCTGTGATTTTACATCTGAGGATCTATCTTAAGGAACAACTTCAAAATGGAAAGAACAGTATGTAAACAGGAAATGAAAACCACTTCAATGTTCATTAGTATGGGAATGGCTAAATAAACTATAGCAGACATAGACTCAATAATGTGTAGCTATTTGGGATGATAAACATGAATGCTTATCATGGGAATATGGGAAAATACTTAAATCCTGCCACAACTGGAAAAAAAGTTAGATCCAAAGTTGCATATTGAATGTATGCTTCTTTCTTTCTTTCTTTTTTTTTTTTTTTAAGATTTTATTTATTTATTTAACACCGAGAGAGAGAGATCACAACTGGGCAGACAGGCAGGCAGAGGGAGAGGGAGAAGTAGGCTCCTTGCTGAGCAGGGAGCCCAATGCGGGGCTTGATCCCAGGACCCTGGGATCATGACCTGAGCCAAAGGCAGACGCTTAACTGACTGAGCCACCCAGGCGCCCCTGTATGCTTCTTTCCTTAAGAAAATTTTAATCAGTAGATCCTTTTGCTAGACGGCCTGTTAAAAATTCATCCTAGTTGGTAAATAATGTTGTCATATTTTTCCCTCCTGTTTTAAGCAACAGGTAACTGCTCAAAAATGTGCCAAGGATAACAGATTTTGCACTTTGGCCAAGAGTGTAATGTCTGCATGTTGAACGGAGTTGGTCCTAGAAGGAATTTATTAATGTTCTCTGACATGTCAGGACAGCCTTAGCTGCAAATGCAAACACACGTCACTGCTCCAGTTCACCAGTCTTCTAGGTTGATGGGTCTCTTCAACACTGTGTAAGTTACATTCATTTTCTTCTAGGTGGTGGTGACAATCTCCTGTCCTAGAATGAATGCAAAGGAAAGCAGCTTCTCTTCTGTCTGGGACTGAGAACTTACAACAGCCTCGAGAGGAAACTCAGGTGATAAAGGGAATAAAGGCATCTTGGAACCCAGACAAGGGATACAGATTCATCCACTCTGTCTCCCACACCTGTAAACACACTTTTCTATTTGCTGGCCCAGGAAGAAGTCACATGGGTCTGTAGAGCCTCACTCACCTCTCTGTGACACACTGTGCACAGCGTCTGCAGGTTGTCCAGAGAGCACTGTCCTCCTCCACCTGACACGGGCTTGATGTGGTCCACCTGCCAGAAATGCCCTTCTCCTGGGTTTCTAATCATTTCATTAAGCTGCAGTAAGAACACAAGATCAGCACTTTTCACCATACACTGTGGGAACTGTTGGTTTTGCCTCATGCAATCATGTTTATACAGCAAAATCACAGCGAAAAACACATTAGGATGGCTTTTTATAGCTTTTATTGTGAGTAGGAAAAAGCCTCTAGGTTAGCAATTTGAAAGCAATAAAATATGTTTCTGAAAAAGTTCTTTTTCCCTTACCTAACCCATTTTGAAAAAATTATAAGCAAGTATAAAATACCAAGACTCCTGACAGATCAGGGAAAATTACTTGCTTCTGCACCTTTGAGCTAGTTTAGATAGTCATTAAAAGAAAACTGTGAAAAGAGTAAGATCAGATTAGAAAAAAACTTCTGAATATTACGGAGTCAAATAATCTTTAGTTATTGACCTAAATTCATTTGTTATTATAAACAGTGAAAAATTAATATTAACAGCTGTCAGCCGGAACTTTTATGCCATTCACTGGGGAGCCTCTCCAGTCCAGTTCCATGGACTGGAAGGAAGTTTCCACAACAGATCTCTATCACTGGTGTATCTGGAATAAACAAAGTTGTCCATGTAAAGCAGCACTATTTAGGCCAGCTCACATATATACACTTTATATTTTATCTGTGATGACCTACCTTAAAATGGAATGTATTTTAACATTTTGCCTGAGGCAGTAAAACCAGCTCAGCATTGTAGTTTTTTCAATATGATAAAGATGAGCACAAAGCTTGGTCTTGGACAAGGACGAAATTAAAATCGGCTGCGTGCTGCTGGCAGGGGAACCTGTGTCATGGTTCTAAAGCACTTAGACACGCGGAGGCAGAGGGACCCCAGCCCCAGAGGAGCCCCAAGAAGCAGCAAGCTGGAGCGGTAAACTCTGTCCAGCTGAGGCTGGCATTGTTAGAAGCAGTTACAAATGGCAGTCTTGTGCATCAAGCACATGACGTGTTCTTAGGGAAAAAGATCCATTTTGTCTGCTTTTTGTAACCAATTCTTTTGCTCTCAACAGTCTCTCCTCGGATGGACTCTAATCCAGATGTGCTTCTTTATTCCTCCTAGTAATTCCCTGGCCAATCACCTGGGGTCAGTGTTCAGCATCCTAAATTTAACTCTTAAAACAATCACTCCCTCTCTGACTGATCCTCCCCAGTATGAGCCGTACGGTGCTCCCTAGCCTCGGAGCACTTCTGTTTTAGTAGTACACTACGTAATAACTTCTGCGTTCCTGGACAGGCTGCTTTCACGATGTCCTTGAGTCCTTTCATTGCTTGTCTTCTGGAAGACTCGGCTCTGAGGCAGCAGACACTGACTGCTATCTGGCTGACACCCCTGGGATGGGTGCAGTGTATCCCTCACCAGTTAGACAAAAGGATATTTCAGGAACTCTGGTTATCATGAAGGAAATAGTTTATTTCCCTAGCTCTCAAAGACACACTAATTCATCTTTGCAGAAATGCTTAATTAATTCTGTCATAATTCGGTGATACTAGGTGAATAAAAATGATTTGACCAACTGGCAGAAATTTATCCATTATTTTAGTGGGGAGAGAATGACTCAGGAGTGATTTTTTAAAATTAAGCACACTACAAAATTATACATTTTGCTCTAGTTTGAAACTTAGAACTGATTAGATCACAACATTAGAAACCAGTTGAGTTTCTAATGTGAAATAAAAGTGAATCCTGGTGATTGTTTTCTAAGAATAATTTTTCCGTAAATTGCTCTGCTAAAATTATATTTTACAATGGGATGAACAAATATTTTCTTCACATTGTAATGAACTACATTTTGGGAGTTATCTGTTTGCCTCTTGTCATTCAATCCTAACATCATGAAAAGTGGAACAACCAGACCATAGGTACTTCTTGATGGGATGTATCATCTGTTAAGCTCTCTTCCCAAAATAATTTAATCAGAATCTAATTAAGCCACTATATCTTATAACTATTATTCTGGAATCAGGGGGATAGGGAAACATGTCAAATAATACCATGAGGATAGAGGAAGACAAATCCATAATGTAGGAAATCCTACCGGCAAATGATCCAGTTTCTTGAACAATCAATGGCGTAAAAAAGGAAGGAGGTGATGTTACAGATTAACTGGAACATAAGAGGTATAATGAACAAATGCAGTGTGTGGGTCATATTGTGATCCTAATTTGAACAAAGCAACTGCAAAAAGGCATTTTTGAGACAATCTGGGAAACTAAGCCTGGATTTATTAAGGAATCATAATTGTGTTGAGTGTAATAATGGGTACTGGGGTATAGGATTATATTTTAGAAAGCGACAGAAAGAAAGAAGGAGGGTGGGAGGAAATCTCTGTGAGAGGTACATAATGAAAGTATTTTTTAAAATATTTTTATTTATTTGACAGGGTGAGTGAGCACAAGCAGGGGGAGCAGGAGAGGGAGAAGCCACCCAGGCACCCCCATAATGAGAGTATTTCAAGAGGAAATGAGGGGCACCTGGCTGGCTTAGTTGGTAGAACATGCGACTTGATCTCAGGGTCATGAGTTCAGGCGCCACGATGGATGTAGAGATTACTTAAAAAAAGCGGGGGAGTGCCTGGGTGGCTCAGTCATTAAGCATCTGCCTTTGGCTCAGGTCATGATCCCAGAGTCCTGGGATCGAGCCCCACATCGGGCTCCCTGCTCAGCGGGAGGCCTGCTTCTCCCTCTTCCCCTGCTTGTGTTCCCTCTCTTGCTGTCTCTCTCTCTGTCAAGTAAATAAATAAATCTTAAAAAAAAAAGGAAATGAAATGTCTGGAATTTGCTTTAAAATAATTCCAGGAGAAAAAAGGATTGAGGTGAGGGACAAATGAAAATGAAGGCAAAATGTTGATAACTGTTCAAGTTGGGTGATGGGTCTATGGGTTGATTATTCTACTTCTGTATGTATATTTTCAAAAACTGCCATATTAAAAAGTTAAAGAAAAAGTGAGTCAATATTCATCACTCAGTACAATGCAGCCTTCTGTCTGCCACATGATTATAATTTACCTGTTCCAATGGGAGCTTTGAGATCCAGGTAATGTCCAGAAGATTCTTCCTCTGACTTTTGGGGGCATCTCTCAGACGTAAAAAGAGTTCCTGTGCATTCAGATTACATAGCTGACACACACCATGTTCAATTTCAAATACTTTGGCTCGCAGGTAACTGTTATTAGATCGAATCCAAAACTCTTCCTGACATTTCAGAGAGCAAAATCGTGAATCCCAAGCATTCACTTTACACTCTTGCTTAGTTTGGCAAGTGGGTTGCTGACAGCGAAGGCAAAGTGGATTTCCTTCATTATCCATAGCTTGCAGATAGCCTTTGGATATAGAAGGCTTCCCAGTGAGATCAGCTTGGGCTATGCAGGGATTTAGAAATGGGACACACACTCCATCATCAAGGAACTTTCTAGAATTGAGCAAAACATGCAATAAGTAACTAATGAACACTTAACACTAGTCACTACTTCATATAATGAATGGTTTTCAAAGTTTCTATACTGATAAACAGTAAATGCAGGACCCACAGATTCTGTGATTCAGTGTGGAAACAATAGTTATAGTCAGCACTTGATGCTTCATGCCAAATAAAGCAAAGAATGGGGTGTTAAAAAATTAATTTGAATACATATATGCTGCCTCTCTTGGGAATTTAGATATCTTCAAGTTAAACAATCAGACTTGGAAACATCTGAAGAAATTGGCAAATGAGAAGTTAGAAAATGCTTCTTCAGGCTGGGAAAGGACAGACTAATGTGAAACCCCACCTGAAGTTGGGGCTCCCGTGCTCTGTGTGTGTTGGACCACACACCGTAGCAGGACAGAGAGGCCATTTACTAAGGCTTCCATGACACCCTCTGGGAGCCCCTGCTGGCCACCAGGAGACAGTCACACCCACGGAGTGACACAGCCAAGATGCTGATACTATTTTTAGGAGCTGGAACAGAAGACTTGCTAAGTATGTGCCTCCTACAGGTAAACTCAGATTTGACTGAATTAAAATGAACATGACAGGACATGCACTCAATTTGTTAAAATAAAACGAAAAGGTACATCCCTCAATTATGTTGAAAGGTCCTACATGGAATTACCACAACTGCTTGCCTATTTTCCATGGCTGTTTCTCAGAAGTGTTAAAAGCTCCTTGTGATAGAGCTCATGACTGGGAACATCTAGTATCTTTGGGTGGGTCACTTGGTCCACCTGGTCTCAGGGTCCTTCTGATTTCTAAGGTGAGGACATCCTATTCCTCACAGGGTTGCTAGGAGGATGGAGGAGTTACCATATTGTGAAAGCTCTTTCTAACCTATAAGTGGCCACATCAAGGTCAAGTATGATTACAAATACGAATACAGAAATTTAAAGGAGTACAAGTAGTACTACTATGTTCTTCTCATAAATGAAATCTTACTGTGTAGAAGGTTCCCGTGGCCCAGACTCCTTCATGATCAGACGGACATGGCCCCCATCCTTCTTCACCTTGTCCAGTGAGGCTACAGCAACATCTTCTTTGGTGATGTATCTAAAACAATTACATGTTAAGAAGATTTCTTCTCTCTCCTCTAAGAGTTTCTCTATTTCATGCTCACATTCCTCCTTGTAAAAGTAAGAGAAAAGGTAAGACAGGAGTCTTCATGGTGCTAATACGAACATTAGGGAATATTTCCTACCTTTACATTGGCCTCCACGTGTGGGAAGCACATCTCTGTTCCAAAGTGGTTTTTTCAAGATTTATTTTTCTAAGATATTCAAGAGTCCTTCAATATCCTCTGGACCAGTTTTCACTTAGGGGACAAGTGGAGTGGGTGTAGGAATAAGAAACAACCAAATCCATGCACAACTGACAGCCATGAGTAAACAGCTTGCCACGCTGCACAGAGAATCTCCCGCTGCCTGTTTACCTCCCTGTTGGCCTTTCCTTTAAGGTTCCCCCAATCACCTTGATGAGTTATAACAGTGTATCAGCGTACTTGGGTAAAGTGATTCTCTTTTTAGTTAACCAGGTTCCATCACATCTTCTATAATCTTAAGGCTGTTTCCATTATTATCAGCCATACAGGGTTTATGGAATCCTTCCACTGAAATAACGCCACTCTTGATGGGGATTCAGAACCTTATTACACAACACTATCGATACCACACAATGGTTTAGGGACTGGAAGTAAAGAGGAAAGTTATTCCAATTAAAGGTGACGGGGGATTTTAAGTAGGTAAAATGCAATTACCCAATTAATTCCTTCTAATTAGCATGGCCCACTTTCTCTGGTAGTTTACACTTATTGTAGATTTTTTTCCTTTTTAATTAGTTTAAACATGAATTTCTTCATATTTCCAAGTACTTCTTAATTTGGTATCTTGACAATAAAATTAAAGTTAAATCACGATGGAATTGTGTAATTGTAGGTAAGATCTTAGAAATTTGCTTTTCTGTTAAAGTAGATTTAATAATTAACAGATTTGCTTCTTTTTATAAACTATTAATTTTTTGATACACGCACATATTTCAAAACTCAAAAGGCATGCAATGGTGTATATGGTGAAGAGCAAGTTTACCATCCATTCCCATTCCCTCCCCCAGAGCTATCTCTATGACCAGTTTTTAATACATACTTTCAGAAAGAATTTTTTTCTGTGTAGAGGTTATACCTTTTATTTTCTATTTTTATTGACATATAACTCATAAACTATAAAATTTACCATTTTAAAGTTTACATTTCAGTGCAGTTCATTCACAAGGTTATCCAACCATCACCACTAATTCCAGAACATTTCCATCACCCCAAAAAGAAACCTGTGCTCATTAGGAGTAACTCCTTATATTTTTTTTATTAAAGATTTTTATTTATTTGACAAAAGAGACACAGCAAGAGAGAGGGAACACAACCAGGAAGAGTGGGAGAGGGAGAAGCAGGCTTCCCGCGGAGCAGGGAGCCCGATGCGGGGCTCGAT